GAGTTATCTCAGAAGGTGGAGCCAAAAATAAAAAACATTAATGACAAACTTGGACAGAAGGAACAAGAGAAATGTCAGTGATGTGTTTATTTTGTCCATTTATTGGAGGACTTTTGTAAGTTTATTTTAGCTTACTTACCTGTAGGCTAGCATGGTTCATATAGGCCAACTCTGAGCAATGCTAACTTGCTAATAGTGACTGAGTGGATATGATGATGATCATGTAATCTCTGAACTTGCAGTGTATTTCACCCTTTTCTCCTATAAATTAGGAATATGCAATTACTTTTACCAATAATATGTTGGATGCACTGCCAGGCAACCTCACTGTGGGCGGATGGATGAACTATTTCTCAAGAATTACTTTTGGTTTGTGTTACAAACAAGGCACATTGTGTTAATCAATGATCTTTAGAGGTGTTGGTGTAGTTTGAGCCAGACTAGCTGTTTATATGCTACGGTAAGCTAATCGTCTTGCTCCGTATGTAACGCACAGATATGAGACTGAGATCGATCTACTCATCTCACTTTAAGGAGAAAAAAGGTGAAAAAAGGTCATAGATATATAATATATTACAGATTTATGTTTCCGCCCCCTGGCTGCAAGCACACTAGTGTTCCAATAGTGTTTGTATACAAGAAACCCGTCTATAGACATCCTTCTCTCGCCAAGTGCGACAAATTCCATAACTTGTTTTTGATGTTGACCCATAGGAGCACAGCGTCCTCTTCAACTGTAAACATGGAGAAAAGAAAGAAGAATGATGTTGGTGCTGTGAAGAAGAATTGTTAAACAGCAACCGGTGTCTCGCCAAAGTGTTCAATACACTCGACCGTGACAGTGTCATGTCGGGTCAATTTTAAAAGCTATTTTTAAAAGTCAAAGTTGCAGTTTGTCGTAAAACTGTAAAGTAACATTTACTTTTGTGAGAAACCACTCAGTTAACTAAATCTCTTGTCTTGCACAAATGTATCTCACCTGATGTGTTTAATCCAACAGTCCTTTCATCATCTGGACTGCACATGGAAGCTCTTTGACGTTCGCTGAGAGAAACAATTCTTGCTAAAAAGTTATTACTGAACAGAAAGAAGGCCAGCTCGCCATCTGTCCTGCGTCCTTTTAGCTTTCAGCTTCAGTGAGTAATAGCCAGTCCGATAGTTTCTCTTGCCTCGACTGCTCCGTCACTCTCTATTTCTCTTTCTTAACGTAGCCTGTCATGATACTGAGAATACCAAGCTAGCTATTATACTTTTTGCTTCTTCATGGCCTAGACTATCTTGTTTTGCTGAAAATTCCAAAAATGCTACTTTAGCTCTTCTAGCAAAATGTTACGGTCTCACGACGCACTGTTGTTGCATGCGTAGTAGCCGATGTGCCTTACTGAAGTGAACAGATCGGCCCATAGATCAGCCGGTTGTCACAGATAACCGATCACGGTATTTGGGTCAGAATCATATCAGTATCGGGTCTGTGCCATCCCTAGTTTGTGGTTTTTGTAATATACGTACTTTTACAGTCTTAAAATTCAACAGTTTTATGACAAACTGAGACTTTCTTCACTTGCAAAATTATCTTTTAAATGGACAAACACACTGGCGACCTGTCCAGGGTGTTCCCCGCCTTGCGCCCGATGTCAGCTGGGATTGGCTCCAGCCCCCCCGCGACCCTGTATGCAGGATAAGCGGTTGACGATGGATGGATGGATGGACAAACACGATATGTGTCATTCAGCTCACAATTCAAACAGGATCAAAAAACTTTTTGTCTCTCGCTGTTGAATACTACGGAAGCCCCAAGCGGCCATCGATTCATATCTTTATTTTAGTCCATCTTCCCATGACAACCGGATCATTTTCTCGTGATCTGGAGATAACAAAACAGTAGTTTAACACAGGGGTTGGCAGGAACATTTCTTAATGGTAATTTCAAGGTGATTTTTAGTGTCACTGATTAGCTCAGTGGGTGAGGTACATGGCTCATAGTCTTAAGATTATGAGTTTGATCCTCCAACATTTCACACCTCTTCAACAAAGTTATGATGATGACTGATTCACATACTCACAATAAATCACGTGCTGGAGTGTGCACATCCCGGCAATAGGTCCACATTCATCAACCTATAGACTTAGACTTTAACTACACGTTTCCTGACGGTTATTTCAGAACCTTTGAAATAGCCGTGGGGACATGTTTGATTGGATTCCCCTGAATCTCTTGATAACAACTTTGATGAAGAGAGTGATTTAAAAAAAAAAAAAAAAACACACAAAAGAAGAATACAAACTTTGTTTGAGAGCAGGGCTCAAACTTGCAATTCTTGGGATTACAAGTCCTGCACTTTACCTATTGAGCTAACTGCTGATTCAGCATATTGACATTGTTATTGTAAAGAAACGCACCTGCCGACCCCTGCATTCAGCTTTGGTTCGTTATCTCGAAAACACAAGAAAATTATCCCGTTATCACGAGAAAACGACAGTCATTGTCTCAAGATCATGAGATAATTATGCCATTATCATGGGAAAACGGAGTAAAATAAAAATATGAATCGATGGCCGCTTAGGGCTTCTGTAGAATACCATACATAATGTTTCTGAAATAATGGTCCACCGGAAGGGGAGGGACTTAGTCCCGTCATTATCACCACCTGCTGGTACTGCACCTTCGTACATGTGTGTACGGTTTCAAGCTTAGGCATGATACTGCACTGGAAAAGTCACAGCCATTTAAAATGTATCCGCCACTATCAGACACAGCATAGGAGACCGATTCTGATAGCTAGTTCACATTATTGTTCCTGGAAGTTCATCTGAGCACCTGCTTCTTGATGACATCACACAGGTCATGAAACACTACAAACTATGATTGTTCGGAGACCAATGTGTAGTTTGTCCTGTCACAGCAAGAACATAAGACTTTTTTAATCGCCTACAGACAAAGAGAAATGATTTGGAGCTAATCATTCACGCCTTTGTGTCGTCGCGGTTAGACTATTGTAATAGTTTATTTTTATGCCTAAACCAGAAGGAGCTCTCTCGACTGCAATTAGTACAAAACTCTGCAGCCAGAATTTTAACACGTACTAATAGGAGGTCTCACATATCACCAATCCTAAAAGAACTTCATTGGCTACCAGTGTCTTATAGGATAAATTTTAAAATTTTGGTTTTAGTTTTCAGAGCTTTACATGGCCAGGCTCCACCCTATATTAGTGACCTGATTCAGCGTTATACCCCTGTGCGTGCTCTGAGGTCTGTGGATCAGAACCTGCTGACGGTTCCACGCACTCGCTACCGTACTAGAGGTGACCGATCTTTTCAGGCTGTTGCCCCTAGGTTGTGGAATGACCTTCCACCATCTATGCGCTCTTCTGATTCTGTTGATGCCTTCAAATGCAGACTAAAGACACATTTATTTGTTCAGGCTTTCAATTAGCTACTTGTGGGTTGATATGATCATGTACTGTCTATGCTTTTATTGTGTGTATTTTATGATATTAATGTTTTTGTTGTGAAGCACTTTGTGGCCCTATACCTGTGAAAGGTGCTATAGAAATAAACTTTTACTTACTTACTTACTTTTACAAAAATATTGTGTAGTCTGAACCTGGCCTAACTACTGTGGCAGTGTGTCCTTTATTTGTTGAATTCTGAAGTACCACTAGGCCGCATACTACTACTGATTCTACTAGGCTACTAATGATGATGATGATTGAAATGTCATTTTTGGTTTCATTATGCAAAACTATATAACATGGACAACCATTCAGAAAAATAAGTTGTGAGAAGCAAAATGTGTGGAAATAATGAAAGAAGGAAAATGGACTAACGTGAGGAACAAGTGTGGGTGATGGAGAGGGAAGAGAGCAAGACAATGAAAGAGAGGGACAGAGCGTTTGAGTATACATTACACAGGCGCGGGGGGGGGGGGAGTGAGAGAAAGGGGAGGAGACAGCGTGAGAGAGTGTGTGTGTGTGTGTGTGTGTGTGTGTGTGTGTGAATATGACTTTATTCGGGAGTCTGATCACACACGGTGCTCCAGTGAGCGGAGAGAGGAGAGCAGAGCGGCTTCAGCTGTGCAGAGATCAGATGAGAGAGGAAAGACTTCGCGCACACACCCGGCAAAGAAAACACTCTTCTCTCAAACACTCATTTACCCCAAACTGTAACAACAGTTCTCCTCTGACTTTAACTCCGTGCGTCTTTATTTTGGCACAAAACCCGCACTACTCCATTTCCATAAAGTAAGCTGCCACAGACACAACACTCGGAATATATGAGCTCCTGAGGTTGAAATAAATCTCATATTCATTTCTTATAAGCATAAAATATAAAATGACACTTGGGCTGGATTTGTTGTTTTTCATTCGGAAATTGATGCATTAGGCGTAGAGAAAGCGGCAAAGTCCGTCCGAGATATTTTCTCTTCTTTTATCGGAAACATTTCCCAGAGACAGAGCTGTGAAACGGTGAGGACTTTGAAGGTTTGTTCAATTTTAAAATCTCACTGTCCCGTTTTTGCCTTTCCTCCTCTGCGCACTACTAAAAGTTTTGGGGTATTTATTTAACATTTTGGGTCCGTTTGAAGACTTTTATGAGGTGAAACACATTGCGAGGAATTAAAAGCTGCCCTTTGCTATAATATTGACCTTTAAAATAAAAGTCCAGTGTACAGGCACTGCGTTATCCTGCACATTAAAGCCAGAGGAAATGTCCTCCCCCTGAACAAACAACGCTATCAGTCAATCTCTCTCACTCACTCCCTCTCCCTCTCTTTCTCTCTCTCTCTTTCTCTTGAGAGCAGAGGACAGCACACACACACACGCGCGCACACACGCAGGCGCTCGCTGACATACCGACACACACTTTGGCGCTGCCGCCGCCGCCGCTGCTGTATCACTGTATCACACCAATGTCACTGCCGAGCTCGTGGTGCTGAGAGCCTCGCGCTCACTGACCGACTGGCTGACTTCTCTGCTTCAAATCCGCTGTTCCCACAGACACCTACTGACCCACCGGCAGACACCAGGCGGAGGATAGCCGGGGACCGGATGCCTTTCTCGGATGGAGAGCCGGCGGCGGTGCCCGTGTGAGAGAGGAGAGTCCGGAGCTCCTGCACCGGGAGACAACAACGCTGACCGGGTGTTCGTAGGTCCTTGATCAGTGAAATAATCACCTCTTAGTTCCACTGATCCAGGTATCCCATTGACTGTTGAGTGGGAGGAAGAAGAAGGGGGAGACCGCGCGCACCGGAGAGACCGGGACCATGATCCGGAGCTGCACAGGGGTGCACGGAGGTTATATCTGAAGGATAGAGCCAAGAAGAAGAGAAGGAAGAAGAAATAATAAAGGGAACGCTTTCTGCTGGTTTCAGCTTGTGCAATATACACTCGCTAATCTCATTAATCTATTGATCCATTGATTGGTGACTGTTCGTTTTGCGCACCGGGACCATGATCCGGATTTGCTTGAGAGTTATATCGGAAGGTTAGAGAAGAAAAGAAGAATAAAAACAACAAAAAGAAGACTGTGGTTCGTCTTCTATCGCTGAATCAATAGCTCTATTGATCCCAGTAATCGGTGACTGGTCTGTGTTGGGAGAAGGAAAAGCGGGGGAGGTTGGTTAAACAAGACGCGGGAGCGCATCGGAGACAGCCGGGGACCATGATCAGGATCTTCCCGGATTTCAGCGTCCAGGTGACTGCTTCGGCAGGCGGTGGACCCGGGGCTGGGGGCGGAGGAGGAGGCGGCGGGGGCGGTGGGATGATGACCGGACCCCCGGTGGGTCGGGTGCCGGTCCCCGGAACAACGAACGGCACCCCGCAGAGTGTCCAGGGAATCACCGCCTACCAGCAAAGGTATGTCCGGAGCTGCAGAAAAACGACCTGTAGAATTAAGAGTGTTTGATAGAAAGAGTTTAATCAAATATTTAGAAAGGTGGCATAACCAGATTTCAGGAAAAATCCTTTAATATTCCTGAAATGTGTTTTTCTATCTAAATGTGAAATCGTCTCCTGTGGTAGATTGAACTGTGATATTTGTATTTTATCCTCTTAAAGTATATATTTTAATGTCTATTATAGGATTATCAGATCTTCTTCATGGGACACTTTTATGTTCAGATACAGTTGGGCATCTCTAACTCAGTGGGCACTTTCTTTCTTTTTTTAAAGAACCTTTTTGAGATATCATGAAGCAACACCCAGACTGCCGGCTATCAGTTGGTATTTTAAATCAAAGGTTTAGAAATCATCCATAACCCTTGACTGCAGGTACATCATTCTGTGCCATGTGTAAAGCTGGATCCGGTGTGTGTGTGTTGAGATAAATGTTACAAAAACTGTAGCATTTTCCTCAATTACTTGCTTTACTTTTTCCTATTAAACCTGATCAGAAAAGGAAAATCTGGTGACTTTAATGCTTCACAAGAGGATTAAATTCAATAACAGTTTGTCTTGGGATTATTTGTTTCAAAGCGAGTTTTCCACAAGTGTTTGTGGAAAAGAGGTATGTAAAGATTTGTATTCAGCAAAGACGGAGGGATAAAGGGGCAGATGAGGGGTGATATAGTGGAAATAGAGGAGTGAAGTCCAGGTAATTCAGTGGAAAAACTGTGATGATCTTCTGTTAATTCAGTGGAAACACAAGGGGGTGATTTATCGGAAATGGAGGATGGAGTTATTTCAGTAGAACAAGAGAAATGTGAGTGTTTTCCAGCTGGTCATGATGCTGCGGCTCCTTGAGTCCAACCTGTTTTCTTGTGACAATTCACTCCATCCATCCCCCTGTTATTTCCTTATTTCCCCTCCACTCTGAATCTAAATGATTGCCTTCTCGTCTGGCCGCTCAGTAGGGTTGTTTTTTCTAATCATCTGGAGCGGTGGGGGGGCCAAAACACACCCCACACTCTCACACACTCTTGCCTTATTATTGCCTAAAACTCTCCATATTATAGAGTCTAGCTATATGTGTGTAAAGTCTTAAAGCTATGGGGAGCAAGCGCGACATAAATCACAGCCGGGGCCTCTCCAAGTGCACTGAGAGTGTCTCAGCCCTCTAAAGCAACAAATAGGAGGAGAATAAGGGCCGCATTGTTATTTAAAGCAGGGCTTCTGGGCGCACATAGACCCCAGACGCCCATACAAGACACAACCGTATGTTTGTGTCCATACGCGGGAGGCGAGGATTGGAGTTGTGGTTTGACACTTTCTCTGATCATTTCTTCTGACATGAAACCTTCTAGAATTTAACCATGTCGTCATCTAGCAGCTGGGGACCCGTCAGAACTCCTCGAGGAGCCTTTGAGGCCCCCAGACCCGAGTTTGAGTACAGCCAGTTGAAACACAGGCCTGAATTATCTCTTTTTAAAGGTAAACGCCACTAAAAGAATGTTAAATTATTTGTCTGGATTTCTAACAGCTGCAGAGGCTCGTTTCAACCAAAAAAATTCTCTCCGTCTTTGGATCCTGCGTCTTCATCGGCCCGTCGTCTAGCTGCCCCTCTTCCCTCTCTCTATACATAATGTTTCCCCCAACAAACAGCTGGGAGCTAATATGTTTATACATTACGCTCCATTATCCACGTCGCCTCCGTTTGACTGCCTTCAGTAAGCAGAGCTGAGATGGAGAGAGAGGGAGAAGCCTAAACCTCACCCGGAATGAACGGAGCGACAACTGTTTTATTCACTGACACTGGACAAGGTTTAAAAAATAAAATAAAATCACATGTGAGCTTCCATCTGGGATTTCAAAACCCACATCTTCAGATATAAGTTGTTTTTATCCCCAAAAAAATCCTTGTATGTGGAGGAAATCCAGTGTTTGAGTTTGTGGATGACCTCATTGCAGTTCAGGGCACAACAGTGAGGCTGCTCTTGGGGTGGGGGGGTGGGGGGGGTCAACTCTGTGACCTTTTCAGTTTCTGGTCATGTGACCTATAAGCTGGCAACCGTCTTTGCTTTTGAATATTACTGAGCATCTCTTTGCACATGGACAGATGAATCAGAAACTAGGGATGCAGCAAAAAAAACATCAGTTTGTTGAACGCTCACTTTGGATTTGAACATTTGAATCTAGCCCTGTTTTTAGAGTGAAATAAATGTTTGCTGTAAATCACTGCATCTGCTGTTGACCGTAATGAGGTAAAAGCACATGTTGACACCTTTTTCTTAATGCATAACTGCACTGCGTTTATCGTTATGCGTTCAGCTCATGACGATCGTCGGCTGCAGGTCACGGTTTCCCTCTCCAGTCTTTATTTTCCGCCACAGCACCTCCTGTAACCCCATGTTTGTGTGGAGAATACCCAGCATGCCTTTGACCTTGACAGGTCATTGGTATAGAGAGGGAGGCTTTTCAGCTTCCAGGGCTGCAGCCTCGGGGTTAATCACACAGCACACCGATTAGGTTACAATGAATTATACATTAATAAGAGAAGGAATTTAAATGAATGTTGAGGGGAAAAAACATAGAAAGAATCAGCAGGTTGTAGTTTCTGTTGGAGGATAAAAAAAACATCTCTGAAGTACAAACATGAAAGACAGGAGGAAAATATATTTTAGTGGCCTAAAATATAAAAAGTGAGCAGGATAATTTGATTTTTAAAGACGATAAGAGGAGTTGTGTTAAAATTTAAAGGTTCACTACAAACTCAAGCTTCCTTTCATGCAGATGCAAATACCAACACATGATGAGACTTGCAAAAAATAATGCAGCAGCACAAAAAGTTAGTTACTGATTTTGGAATCTTAAGTGAGACATTTGCTGTGATGTGTTTATTATGACACTGAGGGAAGGAGGGGTTGTGTGTAGGTGCATAGATCCGATTTACAGGGCAACCATCCAAATAAATCACCCATCACCCCCTCCCCGCGTAAGGTGGTTGGCGTCTTTTTGTGATGGTTAAAAATTGGATGAAAGCCCCGCGGTGCAACCTGTAATACAGGAAGAGAGGGAGAATTAAATAAAAAAATAAACACACACGCGCGCGCACACACACGCAAACTGACTCCAACTGCAACTGAGTGGCGTTGTTGCGCCGGGGCTGGAGAAAATACCGGAGATGTGTGGTGTCCTTTTTTTTCCCTGACAGCATTCAGAGGAGGGAAAAATGCTCCGAAAAACCACAGAGATTTTGACCGCCCGGCGACGCTCTGCCGCGGGGATTTTAACGGGGATATAGGCGCTGCAGCGGCAGCGAGAATGTAAAGATTTGACGCGCCTGTTTGGCTTTTTTTTTCCTCTGGAGCGCATGCAGGAAATTCTTCTGTAGTGCCAAACCGAAGCTGTGCGTGTGTGGAGAGAGACGGAGAGGAAGAGACGGGAGAGACAGCGGGATCTGAGAGGCATTCACAACGGGTACCCCCTCACTCCGCTCGGCATGCCTCTGCTGCTGCAGCCCGGTCCCTGCCTTCGCCTCCACCGCCCGTTGTTTCCACGCTCCTGAGCGGCGGCGGATGAGAGAGACAAGCACGAGACGCACGCACAGTATACCACGCACGCACAAACACACACACACACACACGTCCACACACACGGACATGGCTTTGTCTTAACACACCAACCATGACGCATTGCTGTCAGCGCGCAGCGCACCGCCGCGGCTCCGCGTCCAAATAAATCTGAAGAGAGAAAAAAGGGGAAAGAACAGAAAGTAAGAAATCAAATAATTGTTGCAGGAAGATGGCGCCCACCAAGCCGAGCATCCAGCAGGACCCGACGCGGAGAGAACGGTAACGGGGCTTGGATTTTTGTTCCTGCACACACTCCTCCTCCCTCACTGCATGTTTACAGCTGCACACAAGCGGGTTTGAACGAACCGGCAGCCCGGCGGGTTACCGGCTGTTCCGCGTCGCTTTGCGTTTTATTCTGAGCCTGGAGGTGTCAGGAGGAACGCTGTTACCCTTTCCAGAGGAGAGTCGAGGTGTGCGTGCGTGCGCGCCTGTGCGTGTGTGTGTGTGTGTCTGACAGAGAGGCGTGTGGCTGGGTAACAGGTCTGTTGGCTGGCTGACCGGGGAAACGGAGGACAGGCTTTGCTTTGCCTGATGTTTTCTAACCTTTCCTGCCCTTGTGTTTAACTATGTGTGTACCTTTTTATGCGTGCGCGTGCAGGTTAGGAAGCCATGCAGTGTGTTGACGCTCCAAGCAAGCAAGGTGTGTGAGCGTCGAGGAAAACATGTGCATCCATCGATGACAAACGCCCGTGTGTGTGTGTCTGTGGGCGCTGCTGCTGTAGAGTGTGTGTGTGTGTGTGTGTGTGTGTGTGTGTGTGTGTGTGTGTGTGTGTGTGTGTGTCTCAGAGGAATTAACAGGAAGTTTTAATGTGGAGGGATGTGCATGGATTTACCTGTACAGGTCAAACAGAGCAGACCTGGACATGACCTTTTTTAAAGCTGAATCACTGGCCAAGATTATTAAAATGGAATTAAGGTGGAAATATGAATATTTGTGTTTTATATGTAAACATGTTTTCTGCTCACACCTGATCAACTAGTGGATTTATGTCCCTGATATTTTCTCACCATTTTATTAGGTATGGCACACATTGGGGACAATTATCTGGATAGGAGTGACTATTTCTTTGTCGCCTGTTCTTTTTCGGTTCTGTCAGTAACATTTTACTGTCAAAAATTTAACAGGATCACTTTATTTTTATACCTGTTGTTTTGAAAAAGGTCTATTCTGAGTACAGAACATATTGGACATCATTTCCAGGATAGTACTTTATGTTTTTTTGCACGTGTTGATTTAGAGATGACAAGCAATGACGTAACTTTGATTCTATTCTTGTTAATCATGTTTTATATTCAAACCATGTGACATGTTAGTTATTGTTTTCCTTAAGGAATATGCTTTGTTTT